TTTTTTAAAACTGGATTGTCCTTGCCGATTGTCGGGATGGGCCAAAATAGCTAAATAAAAATTGATTCATAATATCTATACTGGCATATGCAATCAAAGAAGACATAACCAGTCACAATTCATCATTAGATTCATTCTTTTTCAATTCGCAGAAACATCGAGAAAAGAAAGATAATCTTTATCAACATTATTAACCTCCTACTGTTTTACAGAACGGTTCACTCGATGCATCAATTAGTTCATTTCATTGTGACTTATTTCAGAGCTTTTACCTGTGCATTGGGTCTTTCATAAAAATCACAATGAATGATGGGTGCTGTTGGATCGTTTTCGGATGGCAAGTCACAATCTTCAAGCTCGATATCCCACAATGATTGATTCTCATCGAATGTAATATCAAGAATTCGAAATATGCTTAACGGCATAAGAAGTACTTCTTCTTCGGCATGAATTATGGATATATTGGCGATGTCGATCGCGCGTGTCTCAATACGATTGATTCTGTAGGTGAATCGAACCGAAACTTGCAGAAGATTGTTGGAGAATTTCATTCTTCGAAAATGTCCATATTCTCCAACACCTGCAAACATATTGGCAACATTGATTCTTTTCGATGTTGAAATAAATGGTCGATTGACGACGAGTTCACCTTTTTTGTACGTTTGAATATAATCTAAGGTCATTTTTAACCCTCGATAAACAAGGCCAGTATAAGCGTCGTTTGGTCGAAGTGTTGGATCATAATTGAATGAAGCAATTAAATAGAAAATACTGGTTGCTAACGTATTAGCAGGCTTACCGTTAGCCTGCAACAAGTCAGGAAGTACTTTAATGCAATGCTGATTCACAACCTTGTAAAATTCTAGCGGTGCTGTGTACGCCTTAATCACTGGCGATAAACTCGTAGCTGTTCGTGCATCAGTAAAATACCTAAAAAATTTTATATCAGTTAATGAAATTGTGAAGATATTAGTTCTAAGTCATAGATTATTTTTAGCACTATTACTAAATATATTATCCTGAACAGCAAATCACTACTTTCTTCGCCATAGGATTTTAGATAGAACTGATGACATTTTATGAGACTAAATCAATAACTTAACAGAGATCCTTCAAATCGCTAACTGAGCCTCCTGCTGTTAATTTGTTTTTGGGCTGAAGAGTATAGATTCTTTTGTCAGTGAGAATACGGATGTGAATGATAGATGGATATGACACCTATCTGTATCCTAAAGTTGGTCAGTCTTCTGAAGAATCCTCTCCTAGATATCTTTGTGGTTTTATAAAATAGACGACCATATTGTTTCAAATCATTATATTACTTACTGCTCGATGTTCTGCGTAGAAGTCGATAATACTTTGCAGACATGTCGACAAACATAGTAGTTATGTAAATATTCAAGTATAAATGGCAAACCCCAGGTAGAAAACGAACTTTTTAAGGCAGAATCGAACTTTTGCTTCATTTCGCGTGTCGGTGGATCTACAAATGTCCAATCAATCAAAGATGCTTGACCAGTGTTCAGGAGAAGTTCCTTAATACGAAATGAGGTTGTCTCTTCATATGGAGTGAGATCGTGCCTGTTTTTAATCGAACCTAAGGCACCAAATCTTAACAAAAGGTAGACAGCACCCGCATTGTGATGATAACATGCCACGTGCAAAGCAGTGCTCCCGTTTGGTTCGATTCGATTAATTTCATTTGAGCTCATATGAGCCAAATGAAATTTAATTCGAGGAATATC